GTATGTGGTGTTCTCCATCTGACGTGTCCCTCTGCGCGTTCTCCGCTCTGGATAGTCGGGACCACCAGGCGTATATAGGTACGTTTTACGTATATTTTATATCATACCTGGGCCGCGATAACATTAGATACAGGCGTCCAGCCCATGTGATAACTAGCGGTATCACATGGGGTTTTAACGGTTATCACATGGGCTTCCAAATGTGCGTTTCGCGTGCGCCGCTTTCGAAAATTCGAATAACGGATTCGGACGTTGGAATTGATGTTTCTGTTTTTTGTTTAGGCTTTTTGGCTTTCACGTTTTTGCTCACGTTGCAATTGTTTGCCCGAAAATAGGCGAGCCTACCGATATCCCAGGACATCCTCCCCCCTTAAGTAGAAGATTACGGAGCAAATCTGTCAGCTGAACAACTTTTTCTTGTAATCTGAGGGAGAATCCTTTCATAGAAATCTTTAACTAATCTCCAAGCAGATCCTAGGGTCTCAAAAATAGAGTATCGAATTGGCCAGGCCAGAGAGGGTCCATGCGCGACCCAAGGTTGTGGGTAGCGACAAAAAAGGGCCATATATAAAAAGCTAACGATCATTCCCCCACAACCTCTGCTTGGAGGGTAATCTTTATCGACACAACAAAAGTACAGCGACTTTCGTAAGGTCTTCTACAACTGTACATACTATACAAACAGATAAGTGGATAGAAATGAACTTATATACAGGTGCATGTACTAGTATAATCAAACATGTTGAGTTTGATTACTAGCACAGTAGTGGTTCTAAGGTCTAAACATTCTTGTATGTATCATACATATTTTCCTATTTGTACACAGTCAAGCAGATGTAGGTGGGTCTAAATATTAACAACTCCCCAGGTCAAAATCGGAACCGTTATAGAGTGTTATGTTGTTGTTGTTGTTGTCCTTGTTTGAAGTCTATATCTTTACGCTAGACGTGATCTTTAGATGCTGCTTTCACTTTAATAGTGCCAGTTCATGATGGTTTAATACCTCTCTAGGTTTTGGCCCTTGCATGTTGTAGGAAGTGTATTTGGATGTATATTGCTAATGTAATACTCTGTGTGCTCTCAATACACTTACAGCGAAGGCTTTGTAGATCGGTTCAAATTAGGGCAAACGTCCCGGTTTGTAGAACTCGGAAGGAACCTTTTATATGTGATACATCACAGAGCACGGAGAAGGTCCCGGATGTCAGCAGGAAAGGTCCCGGATGTCGGGCGGAAATAGGAAGGGCCAGGACTCTAATAGACTGGACATGAAAAAGTTGTAGAAATTGGCCCAAATACAAATACTAGTGGAGGGGAGTGGAGCTGAGCTTGCATTAGAGAATAATAACAAGACAAACGAGGAGAAGCCGAATTGATTTAATACTGCATAGCATACATGTATCTTTAAACTGTATCCTTTGTTATGACGTGTACCTAACACAATGGGTATGTTTGTACAATAGAGGTCTTCATTCATTCATTCATTCATTCAATAACATCCAACACATAAATTCAATTACATTCTAGGAGAGAACCCTTATTGTGTACAAATAGGGAAGTAAATAATGTTTAGACATTGCTAGTGGTGGTGCAAACGATATGTTGATTTCTGCACATGAATGTAAGCTCATTTGTGTCCACTTCGGTTTGTTTTAGCTACAGTTGTAGAAGACCTTGTAA